ATTTTTCATGGTTGGAGGGTTTTCAGATTTTTATTTTTGCATTTCTTCCAAAATTACTATTGAGTTTGGGTTTTTCATTTGTTTTATCACACTTTTGGCTTGCAGGATATAGTACACTTTGTCTTGCCTCCATGCAGTAACATCTATCTCTTTTTCCCTTCCAAATTTAGAATTAAAAGGAACATAGGTGCAGAAATCAGATGGAGAATATGAAAATGTCCTGTTTATTATTATTTAAATGTATTGGAGAACGTGCATTTAGATCTGATGCTAAAAGGGCCTGCTTACTAGTACTTCCTCTCCAAATTAGGCAGAGACATCTACCAAATCACAGCCAGTGCTTTGAAGCTGTAATTTCCCTCTCCAGGAGCAGTAACCCATAAAGGGTACTCTCTGTTAGTAGACATATCTCAAAGGGGAAGAAAGAGGACAGGGCCTGGAGCGCCCAGTGTTTTCTTTCAGACTCACCAAACATACAATCTCTCCTTTTCCTCTTGCTGGGAAATGTTACTGATGCTGGTGGGTAGTATATTTCTCTGGAATTTTCTAGGCACTTCTCATACTTCTCTGCATACTTTCCAAATCTGTTTATGCCACTTGTGCTTATTACTTAATTTAATTAGTTATTGTATAAACTGATTAGACATGAATAGGAAGAGAAAGCTATTTCAATGAAAACTATTTAAAACCTTTTGATAAACTGTATAAAGACAAGTCCCTAAAAATACTTGCTGTTTACTTAGGCATGAATAAGACAACTGAAGGAGATCAGAGAGCATCATAAAAATTTGGGATTCTGCATTCTGACTGCTTTGCTAGAGTCATTAAATACTTGCTTCAACTTGCACTGAAACTTGATGATAATGTATGTTATGGATTTGGTTTATTCAAGAGAGACAGTGAGCTGCCCATGAACTTGGGAATTAGGGGTTCCTTTTGAGAGTAAATCACAAGGTTAACACAAAATGGTAAGATTGAAAATAATCAAAGTCTGCATAGTTAGATAAATGCTGTGTTATAACACTTTTGCTCAGACTAAGTGGGTACTAACATTTAAAGAAAGAATGTGCCCATCAGAAGGCTTGGGGTAGTGTTGATGGGGAGAGAGGAGGAGATGGGCCAGGAGTTTAAAGATAGGAGAAGAAGCCACAGAAGCCAGTGTTGGGCAGAACACACCCATGACCTGGGGAAGCATGTGCTCTGGCTCTGAGGCATAGTCTGTTCAGTCCTAGGCAGGTGTAGCTCTTATGTGGGTGTTTAAGGTTATCAGTGGCTCATGCCTTTGGATGCCTGAATCCTTCAAATGATCTTTTTGATTCTAATTCCATCCTCACTGGCATCCTACTGCTCATCATTTGCCCCCTCCCCCACCCCGTTGTCATGCTCAAGGTACAGGGCAAGTTGACCCAAATATATTCATGGCCATTCAGGTCTCCATGAAACTTAAGTAATCTGCAGCCATAAATATCTGATGTAGGTTATTGGAAATCTGCCCCTAAGCAATGACATTACTCTCTATGTAATGGCAGAATCAGGTTTTGCACATGGGAACTGAGAAATACATCCTAGACTACAAGTAGTTGATTAAAAAATGATAAGGACTGTCTAGTAGGCAGCCAGATAGAGCTTCCTGGCTCCTTTCTGGAGACACTTATTCCTGGAATCCATGTTCTTCAAACTTGTCTGGCCTTACCTCCTAGCTGGCTATTTTGTGGGACATCTTGACTGTTTTTTTTTTTTTTAAGTGAAAGGGCCAGATTTGAATGAGAGCTAAAACAAGGTTCTGTCAAAATGAATAATTAGGAGTTTCTTTGAGAGCTTCCCCACTGAGATATCATGACATTTGTTTATCCCAAATGCATATAACTGTATTTCCAAGCATAAGCAATATCTGCTCCCATCGTTATAGGTCTATTAGCAGTTTTACACTGTTTTAAAAACTTGTTCTCTAAAGCTTTTATCCCATGCACAAAGCCCTTCTGTAATACGAAATGACAGAATCAAGACCTAACCCTCTTGAGTTAATGTACAGTAAATGAAATATCAGCAAGAGCCCAGCCCTCCATGCAGGTTGCCAAAGCTGCTCAGGCATAGCCTTTCAGCACCCCTGCTTTTACCAAGCACATAAACATCTTGGAGGTCTGGCATGCATCGTGATAACATGGTTTACAAAACCCAGGTCTCTGTGGGTCTCTTCTCTGCACAGTGTGTATGCAGCAAATACATGGTTGCGGAGTCTGGGACCATCAGAAGTGACCAAATTGGACAACAGCCAAGTCCTCACTTTACTTCAGCTGGTGTCCCTCTTAGGTGTCAGGCAACAATCATCTGGAGCTGCTTAAAGCCTCTCAAATCCCATAGCGTGGCTATAAACTGAGAGGACATGAAAAGGGAACATGGGAATCTTGTTAACTATTTCCTCTGTGTTGAGACAACCTGAAAATAATGTTTTAAAATGCAGACAGTAAAATGTGTATGGAACTCACTGCATCTTCTGATATGCCAGAAAAATGTTCTTTCTATAGCCACTGAGTTTGCTTTTTAAGGGAAATGCATTTGCCATGCTATTAAGTATGAAAAGCAGTTAGTACTTTTTCTTAGTTTATAATGGGAAAATCTAGTGATTTACTTAATGTATTACTTAGGAAAAAACCCTTTCATTTTGAGATACTAGAATTGAACCCAGAGCCTTGCATATACTGGTAAGGCAAGCACTCTGCCATGGAGCTACATCCCCATCCCTTTTTTAAATTTAATTTTGAGACAGGTCTCACTGAATTATTCAGGCTGGCCTTGAACTTGTGATCCTCTTATCTCAGCTTCTGGAGTAACTGGGATTACAGGTGTGTACTACCATGCTTAATGGAAAAATCCCTTTATTTTGAAATAGTTGTGCACTTTTGGAAAATCTAAAGAACCTTTATACAGCCTTCTCCCAGATTTTCACCAATTGTAAATATTAACATTTTGCTTTTTCAATACAAATCTGTTCCCTTCCTTCCCTTCCTCTTTTCTGTTTACACACACACACACACACACA